AGAAGCTGCCTGTTTAGTCTCTTCTATCTACTGGAGCTAAGAGGCCCACTCCTCATGAGTATCTCTTTATGTTCCACAGTCCGGTCCAATCCCTGTCTGAAGAGTTGGCCTTGGAAATTTTGTTCTGGGCTGATAGAGAATCCAGGGGCCATGCTTTCTGGGGTTCCTCCAGTCTCAGTCAGACCATTAAGTCTAGTCTTCTTACTAGAATTTGAGTTCTGCACCCCGCCTTTCTCCTGCTCCATCAGGGACTCTCTATTGTGTTCCCTGTCATGGTGGTCATTGGTGGTAGCTGGGCACCATCTAGTTCTTCTGGTCTCAGGCTGATGAAGTCTCTGGTTTATGTGGTCCTTTCTGTCTCTTGGGCTAATACCTTCTTTGTGTCTTTGGTGTTCTCCGTTCTCCTTTACTCCAGGTGGTTGGGACCAACTGATGCATCTTAGATGGCTGCTTGCAAGCTTTTAAGTCCCCAGATGCCACTCACCAAAGTAGGATGCGGAACATTTCCTTAATAAGCTTTGTTATGCCAATTGACCTAGATGTCCCCTGAAAACATGGTCCCCAGATCCGTAACCCTGCTGCTCTGTCCCTCAAAGTGTTTGACTGTGTTCAGGAAACTTCTTAGCTTTGATTTAGTCCAGTTGTGCTGACTTCCCCTGTAGTGTGTGCTGTCCTTCCCTTCACCTAAGATCATTCTTATCTACTATCTAGTTAGTAAATAACCTTCACCCTCCCTCTCCACCTTCGTAACCATCAAAGAATGTTTTCTTCAGTGTTTAAACCTTTTCTTGCGTTGTTATGATAGTGGTCTTATACAATATTTGTCCTTGTGTGACTGACTAAATTCACTCAGCATAATGACCTCCAGCTTCCTCCATTTTATGTTTCACAGCTTCATCGTTGTTCTTTATTGTTGTGTAGTACTCCATTGTGTGGATATACCATAATTTGTTTATCCATTCGTCTGTTGATGGGCACCTAGGTTGTTTCCGTCTTTTTACTGTTGTGAACAGTGCTGCAATGAACATGGGTGTGCATATATCTATTCGTGTGACGGCTCTTATTTCTCTAGGATATATTTCAAGGAGCGGGATAGCTGGATCATATGGTACTTCTATTTCTAGCTTTTTAAGGAAGTGCCAAATCCATTTCCAAAGTGGTTGTACCATTTTACATTCCCACCAACAGTGTATAAATGTTCCAGTCTCTCCACAACCTCTCCAGCATTTATTATTTTGTGTTTTTTGGATTAATGCTAGCCTTGTTGGGGCGAGATGATATCTCATTGTAGTTTTGATCTGCATTTCTCTAATGGCTAATGATCGTGAGCATTTCTTCACGTGTCTGTTAGCCACCTGCATATCTTCTTTGGCTAACTGCCTGTTCATATCCTTTGCCCATTTTTTAATTGGGTTATTTGTCTTTTTATTGTTGAGGTTTTGCAGTATCTTATAGATTTTAGAGATTAGATGCTGATCGGATTTGTCGTAGCCAAAATTTTTTTCCCAGTTTGTAGGTTGTCTTTTTACTCTTTTGGTGAAGTCTTTTGATGAGCGTTAAGTGTTTGATTTTTAGGAGCTCCCATTTATCTAGTCTCTCTTCTGGTGCTTGTGCATTGTTACTTCTGGTTCGTATTGTGTTTATGCCATGTATAAGGGCTCCTAGCGTTGTCCCAATTTTTTCTTCCATGACCTTTATCATTTTAGATTTTATATTTAAGTCTTTGATCCATTTTGAGTTAGTTTTTGTGCATGGTGTGAGGTGTGGGTCTTGTTTCAGTTTTTTGCAGATGGATATTCAGTTATGGCCAAGGCTATAAATCTTTACAGAAGCAGACTGCCATATCTTTCTCCCAGAGGGGCTGGTGGGTTCCAACCACCCACCTTTTGGTTAGCAGCCCAGTGCGCTTAACCTTTGCACCACCAGGACTCCTTAGAGGATGAACAGGTCAGCAAAATGTGGTATATCCATACAATGCAGTTTTATTCATAATAAAAAGGAATAGAGTAGTCAAACATGCTACAATGTGGATGAACCTTGAAAATGTGATGCCAAGTTGAAGAAGCCAGGCACAAAGGACAAATACTATATGATTCCATTGATATGGGATGTCCAGAATAGGCAAATCAGAGAGACAGAAAGTAGTTAGTGGTTGCCAGGGGCTGGGGTTTGGGGAGGATTGGGGAGTGACTGCTTAATGGGTATGGAGTTTCCTTTTGAGGTGATGAACAAATTTTGGAGCTAGATAGAGGTGATGGTTGCATAGCATTGTGAATGTAGGAAATGTCACTGAAGTTTTCACTTTAAAATGGTTAATTTTATGGTGTTGAATTTCACTTCACCTAAAAAAAAAAGATAGCATTAATCTCGATTGCTGACTTTTTTTGTGCCCCCTTAAATTTTGTGACGTCACCTCATTTGTCTCACCCTGGTCCCAGCCGTGGGAACCAGGGTCTGTGTGGGCCCGGAAATGACTTCCAAGAAAAACGAACAAGCAGCCAGGATCCAAATTCCACTTATTCCAGGGAGGCTTCCTTGACTTATCAGCAGAGAGGAGGCTGCAGCCCCCTACCCGGCTCAGCTTGGGCACGCAGCTCCAGGCATCCCAGGTCCTGCACGGCCCAGCCACCCTGGACAGGCAATGCCACGTGTGTGTCTCTGTGTCTCCCTCTCTTCCTGCAGAGGCTGTTTCCAGGGACACTTTGCCCTGTCCTGGATGGGGCCCGAGGCCTCAGACGTCAGCTTAATTCAGACTACTCCCTTCAGTTCCCTGCACCCTGTTTCCAGCACCGTGCTGACCCTGTAAAGAGAGAAGGGTGACAACAGGCCCTGTCTAGGGAATTCACTGTTCTCTGGGAGACAAAACCGGTCCAGGGAGAACAATTTTAAGGCCACACATAACCAAGTGTGACGGAATGGAGTATAAGAACAAAATATGTACAAAACAGGGCCCTGATCCCCTAGGCATCAGGTAGGGGGAAGGGGTCACTGATACAAAGAGCTGTGTGCCTCTGGGATCAGCCACGTACCTCCTGGGGATCCTGTGCAAATCACTTTGCCTCTGTGGGTCTCAGTCTCCTCACTGCAAAATGGGATAGTACTAGGATAGTATTGCATTATAACCACCTATTTCTTAAAAATTCATTTAAAAAATTATTGTGCTTTAGGTGAAAGTTTAGAGCAAATTAGTTTCCCATGGATAGTTTGTACATGAAATGTTTCATGACATTGGTTGCATTCCCCACCATGTGTCGGCACTCTCCCCATTTCCGCCCTGGGTTACCCGTTTCCTCTCGACCAGTGTTTGTACGCCTTCCTGCCATATCAACTTTGCTTTTGGGCAAATGTTGTCCCTTTGTTCTCACATCTTAAAGATTCCCGAGTCAGTGTCCAGGAGCTTCCGATTCTGTAGGTAGGTCTAGGGAGGCTCCTGAGGATGCTGCATTTGTGAATAAGCCTTCGGGACCTTTGATGCCAAGTGGTCTGGCATTGCACTTTAACTCCACCTGAGAGGTTGCTTTTAGGATTGGAGAACAAGGTATGTAAAGCTGCCTGGCATCTACAAAGTGCCTGAAATATAACAATAATATTTACTAGTGGTAACAGTGATCATTGTTATTAGTAGGAGTATTTCAATTAGGAGGTGCGATTCGGGCGGATCCTTGAAGGAGGATGGGCTTGGGAAAGGCGGTGGGCAGGGGCGAGGACATTCCAAGACAGGCGTGGGCTTCCTGAGCCTCCAGGAGCCTGGCGAGTGCCTGGGGCCGGAAGGTGGGGAGGGGGGACGGAAGCTTGCCGCCACTGTGCCCCGCCCCCCGCCCCAGGCGGTCACCCCTCCTAGGGAGCGCACCCTGGCGGAGGAGCAAGTCCACCGCTGGCTTTGCAGTGAATGAGAGGCTGCAGCTTTCAATCCGTCCCGGCTAATAAGGGCGGGCCTCCCGCCGTTCGGCCTCGCGGCGGAGGGCTGGTTGGGGGACATGAGGGGACCCGGCAGCAGCCACCAGACCTCCCGGCCGCGCTGGCAGCCTGCCCCCGGGCCGCTGCCGTTCTAACCCATCTCCACTCTTCTCTTCCCGCCAGGGCCCGTGTCTAGGGCAGCCCTAGCCTCCGAGGCACCCGGCGCGCCCCAATTTACCCTCCCATCCCTGGTTCTGGGATTCCCAGGCTCCGGGCCCCAGGCTAGGCGGTCAGCTAGGCAGGGACGGAGGGAGGGAGGAGGCCGGCCGGCCAGCAGCCCCGAGTTACATGGGGGAAGCGGTTGCTGTGACGCAAGTTTCCAGGGGGCGCTGGGCTCGGAGGGAGCGCGCCAGAGCGGCTCCTCTCCGTGCAGTTGCAATCGTGAAATTAAAAAAACGCTCCGAGCACGCACCCAGCGCTGCCTTCCCCGCCTCCGCCGCACACCCGGCCGGCGGCGCGCCCTGCCCGTGCCCCCCCCATCCTGCCACCGGGGCTGCCGTGCGCGCGGAGCCTGAATTGGGCAGGTCCCCCGCGGACCCCGGGCTGCAGCAGGCTGGGCTCCCTCGCGGTGGCTGGCCCTTTTTTTTTTTTTTTTTTTTTGCAGCGCTTGCCAACCTGTCAGCTGATGGACCTCATCACCCGTAGTGGCGCATGTAGCTCGGCCGCAGCTCGCTCCATTCACCCCGGCCCCCCCAGCCGGCCCGCTGCCCCCGGCTCCCGGCGCCCGGGGTAGGCGGACAGACCCGGGCCGCAGCCGGCCCCCTGGGGCCCACTCGCGTCTCGTCGCAGCCCCGCGCCGCCCGGGGGGCGCTGCAAATAGTCCTTTGTTTACATGCAATTCCTTACTCCGCGGAAGGAGGCCGGGGGAGTGCTGAGTTTTCACCAGCTGTTTCCCGCCTTGAAACAGACATCTGATCAGCTGCAAACACACACACACATACACACGCCCGGGGAGGCAGGCCGGAGAGACCTCCCTCCCGCCCCTCCCGCCCGCCTCCCTCCCCGCGCCGCCGCCGCCGCCGCCGCCGCCAGCATCTGGGACCGGCCGAGCCTGCACCTCCGTCCGGCGCTGCCCTTTGATTCGGATTTCCATCTTGCATTCTCCGGCGGACCGCGGGACCTAGCTCGTGCAGAGGAGGGGGGCAGATCGCTATGGAGTATTTCATGGTGCCCACTCAGAAGGTGCCCTCTTTGCAACATTTCAGGAAAACAGAGAAAGAAGTGATAGGAGGGCTCTGTAGGTGTGTACTCCTCCCCCCACCCCCTTTCTAAGATTGCAGCCCCCGGCCAGCCCGCCCGGGCCGGCGCGCGTGTGCGCACGCATGGCCCGCGCCGCCGGCCCCGCTCGCCTTTCTTAGCCGCCCGGGCTGCTGCAGCCCCGCGTGCCGGGCTCAAGCCGCTCGGGACTCTGCTCCCGCGGAACATGGGGGCCCCGAGCGGCCCCGGCCACTTTTGTCCGCTGCAGGCGGGCGAGTCGCGGCGTTTGTAAATTGCAAACAGACCCACGTGGTTCTGCAGCAGTCCCGGCCATGCTGGGTGCTGGTGGCTTCCCCCCCCTTCCTCCTCCCCCCTCCCGCAGCGGCTTCCTTCCTCTTGCTCCTTAATCGCGCTCTCTGGGTGTTCCCCCAGGGGGGCCTGTGGGGGTACGGGGCGCGCGTGAAGCCGCGGCGCTGGCGGCTACAATGCAGCCACGCCGAGGCTCCGGGGCGCGGGTGGGGGGCGG